CATCAATGAGTGTCACTTGCTGACGCAGTGGAATGGGGCTACTTCGGCAAGTCGGGCATGGACAACTGCTTCAACACAACAGCTGTTTGCCCTTCAGCAATCACTGAAGGGGTACTCGGACTTTTGGCGAACGGCGCAGAAGTGAAGTGGACCTTACGGGAAGTTGGTAGCCGAGCCTTCGAGCCTGATGTGGTATGGGACCGCCGGTTGACCACGGAGCGACTCATCTCGGCACTGCCATCATGGGACTTGACAAGGTGCAAACGTTGCTGAGTGAAGAGGAACGCAACTTGATCACGTCCATAGGGGACAGCGGCGTACAACCAGGAAGCTTCAAGTCCAATCGCGTCACTGAGGAATTCAATCAGCGGGTAGCAGAGAGGCACAGGGCCAAGATTGAAGTGAGGTCCATCAACATGGAACAGCAGCATCGCGCGAGCGGTTCCGTCATGGTCATGAGTGATTTTCCTGACAAGACGCGCAGCGGGCGCAAAGAGCCCCCAGCCGGCGCAATCACTGACAACGGCTTCGCCGACGTATGTGTCACCTGCGCTGCAGCGTGCTTGATACAGTCGTCTCGCCCGGATTGATTGAAGACATGAGGGAATTCGCGCTCTTGCTCGCCACCGCATTGAAATCAAACACAGACGCTGTCGCATCTGGGCGACTGTCCTTCCGTTCACCGACGGGACCGACATGATGGGGCACTCAAAGGGACACATCCTAAGCACTGTCGCACGATCGGCAAGCGTGCGCCGGTTGACGGAGCTTCCACTACGATCCTGGAAGCCGTGTGTATGAAGCAATGTGCAGCAGGGAGGAGCTTGACGTGTAATTTGGCAACTTCAAGAACGAAGAGATGATAGGAGATGCCGTCGAAGCCGCCCTGGGGGCGCTCCGCGCCGTGTCTGGTTACGCCTGGAACGTGCAGGGGACCATGTAAGGGGCTTTGCTTTACATGCTCGAGCAGTTTATTGTGACCTATTCTCAAGAAACTGGTACACAATGCTGCCGCAGAACCGAAGGCTCAACAAGCCGAAGCAGAGTCAATTCCGTGGACAGAATGCAAGTTGCGTGGACCAGTTTTTGAGTATCCTGCGAGAGGGAACGGATCGTTCAATCGCGGATGGTGCTGGATGACATCGGTACTTCCACCAAGACCACTGGCATGGGGGTGATGCGAACACAAGTGAAGACGCGGGGATGAGCCAGGCCCAGCAGGAGGAATACATGGGCCCCAAAGACATGGAAGGAGCCTGAAGCATCTACGCCACGCAAAAGAAAGCTGGCAGATTGCACCGGCGCTATCCTCGGGTGGAAACTTGCCCACTATGCAATTCAGACATTCATGTACTTCCTAATTGTAAGCAAAAGATGCATTGAGTACAGTCGGGGCCCTGAGATCCATGGTTGATGAGTCAGCGAAGGGACAGACACCTTGGGACCCCGAACCTGAAGTTCAGACATCTGCCGGATTGGAGAAGAAGAAGTGGCAAAGACCGAGCAGGACTGGGGCCCTGACAACGCAAATCCTGTGGAGGGCTGCCCCTCGTTGCTGAAAGACAATGTAGGCATCAAATTCGGCGACCCGACCAAGAAGGGACCGCCAAACCACCGGGAGTATTGCGATCCCACCCACCAAGACCTGCGCAGCGAGGTGTCAGCGCACTTGCAAGAGGCCATGGGTGAGGCAAAAGCTCATGGTTCTCAGACGTACCATGTCAAACGTGGCTTCCAACAAAGAGGCGCAAGTCGTCAACATGTCAGAGGCAGAGTCCAAAGAGGAATGAATTTGGCGGCGCAAGAAGTCAATGCTGTCAGATTTCAACTAACGAGCGAAGCCCGTCAAAGGTTGACCACGGTTGAGGAAATCGAGATGGACAACCTCAGACGTAAACTGAACCAGGGAGAGCAGGCAACAACGAAGTTGAGGTCCGAGTTAACCGTAGCGAAGAAATCGGGATCAGGCATGCCTGAGTCGCGAGAATTGGCTGAGGAGCGGTCCGAGATGAGGGGCGTGTGTCACAGCAACAGTTCGGGTTTCGGCGGCGCTCGTGGAGAGCTTGCTGAGCCCTGCGCGCAATTGCGCCTGGGCCAGCGTGCCGGCTGGGCTGAGGCCGGCGCGTGTGGTACAACTTTCGCAGGCCTTGGCGGCAGAAACTGTTTTGTTGGCCTGCTCACCGCGACATGCTGTTCTTCCTCGTGGACCACTGCTGGGGAGTTAGCGTAGCGTGTCTCCGGCAAATGAGCCGTCGCATGGCGCTGCGCTATGCCTTGTTCTGTGGCGAGGCAGCTGCGCATGCCGCAGCAGGGCCAAAGCAATCCCGTCCCTGACAAGGCCCGTGCCAAGTTGTTGCGGGCATACGTGTTCTGGAGGTTAGCCTGGTGCTCAGTTGTTTTCTTGTCAGATCACAGTGGTCTCGGTGTCTTCGTTTCAGTTGGTTGACATGTCAAGCCCGCTCACTCAGGTCAACCAGACAAGCCGAGGCGGAGAGGGGTGTCAACTTGGCAGCCCAACTTGAGGCAGCGTTCAGTGATGCTTGGGCATGGTGTCCAGAGTTTATGTTTGCTAGGCTCTCTGGCCACACTTGCGCGCAGCGCGCGCATTAACTCTGAGCGGCTTCGAAGTGCAGAAGGGTGTAGGGAGCTCAGCAGGCTTAGGCGCAGAACAAGCTCGCAGCTGGCTGCGGCAGTTGAAGAAAGCTGGAGCTTAGCGGGCCAGATGTTCTGCGCGGGGGAGCCCTACGGTTTGTGAGGCGGCTTGCTGCAAGGTGTTCGTGCGCCCTCAAGCCTTCCCGAACTCACATTCCCCGCTGTCAGCCTTTGCCCAAACGCGGTGTGAGCAGGAGGCAGTCTTCTTCCAGCGGTGCTCGGCAGAGCGAAAGCCACGGCCGACTTGCTACCTGGATGAGGGTTCTTGTCAAAACTGAGCGATGCGGCTTCAGAGTTCACGCAAGACCCCAGTGCCTTTCCAACACGGCGCTCATTCACTGCAGATGGCGCCGAGACTTGTCTACGGTTTAATTTCTGGCGCCGGAAACATGCTTTGATCCTTGTGCAAGGGGCGCGCGCCTCGACGTGCAGAGTTTCGGGTAGTGGACAGGGACATCCCCGTCACCCGGTGGAGAGTATGGCCACGCGAGTCCTGGACTGTTTCGAAAAGCCTCACCGACTCCTCTCCTTTAGGCTTAATGCCTGAGAACTTTTTTGTGAGCTTGCAAGCTTGTTTTCACACGCTGGCAGTTGTTCTTCGACAAGGCCACGCCTCGCGCCAAGGCACAGGGTCTGCAACTTGGTCTTCGAGATGCGGGTCTACAGTGCTTGCTCTCCATGCGATGTCTTCGGACCCGGCTCCCATCATTTCAGAAGATACCAAGGAAAACGCTGCAACAATCTCTTGGCCGAAGATCGATCAGCTGCTCGCTGGATGTGGAGCGCCGGCAGTAAGGCGTGGTCCGCGTGGCTAGCCGAAGCGTCGAGAAGGTGGCCGACAGTGGCGGGTCCAGGTTCTCGGGCCTGGATGGCAAACTGCATGGTTACTAGCCTGCAAAGATGATTAAAGCCGCAGGAGATCAAGCCGCGGAGATTGCGCTGCAGGTTCCACAGCTCATCACCAAGTTGATCAGCCAGGCGAGGCGATCAAGGGGACTTGAATCAGCTGCTGGAGATTTTTCGAACGTACGGCCGACGTGGAGCATCCTTACCGACTAATTGATCCAGGAGATTTGAAGAGGGGGGATAGAGCAACGATGACGCGACACCTTCTTAAGAAGAGCTACCCATCAAAAGAGGACGCAAGAACTCAGCTCGAGCAGAAAGGAATTCGAATGATGACAATACCAGTAGAGTTCAGACGCCGAGAAGAAGTCAATGACAAAGGAGAAGGCGATGCCAGTGATTGCCACAGGCTTGATCTGGGATGACTCCGAGAGCGAGGCCGAGTCGACACAGGAACTCTTCTTCCTACAAGCAGAGATCGATCGGCGCGATCGGCGCGATGGCACCCCATGGCTCTGCGGACAGAGGATGCGCAGCAAAAGGTCAACTAGTCAGAACACGCATGCGCTATGGTGCCCGGAACCGCTTGCGTGTCCACTGGGGGAATCCTCAGCGCGCTTGCGTTCCGCAGTTGGTGGCCGGAATTGCCCTGGGTGACGTTACAGCAATTTTCACAATCAAACGCTGCGCCAGTTTGCGAGGATGTTGAGCATCTGTAGCGCAGGCCACTTTTCTCCTCTTACAACTAAGGCGACGGCCGTTGAAGTCGTACAGCCGCAGAAGGCAACTCACCAGGTCTATTTACACCATTTGGGGCAACATCTTCCTTGAGTTCTTGGGTACATCCTAGGGGACATGACCAAGAAGCAACAGTCAAGATCCCCAGTTATTTTTTTATGTTACAGGTTCCCCAAGTGCGCTGTTAGGTGTAAGGTTCCCCAGGCGAACTTTTTGTTACAGGAGTTAACTTTTCTGTTGTAGGCCCCCCAAGTTAATTTTTAGATATTAGGTTCTTATGTCATGACTATTGCAAAACCCCCAAGTTAACTTTCATGTATGGATTCCTTATGCGGTAGGTTTCCCAAACTGCTTTTTAGTTGCAGGTTTCCCAAGATAACCGTTTGCGTTGCCAGGGCGCCAGCGGAAAACCAAAAGACCACCGACTCCTGAATCACTTTTGACATGCTCTGGGGTATTTTGAAGGTTGGCGTCGGTTTGCATTTAGCGCATCGCCGTGTTTGGAGTTTGGCTCCGAGTTCGGCGCCCGACAAAAACACAGTTTTGCCATGTTCGCCAGCTGAGGTTTTTCCACACAGCTGCGCCCCTCCAACTTTCTTCTCCGTGGTTTGTGGTTCCAAACGATCAGATGTCGGTTATTAAAGGACGGCGTTCAAAACAGCCATCTGGATGTATTTTCAAACGGGAACTGAGGAAATAGGGTTTCTGCCGCTAGAAACAAGAGTACGACAGGAGATTGAAACTTTTGTCGCCCCATCCCTCAGGTGGCTGGAAACTCCAGCACTGGAGTTTCTGGGTGCCCAGCCTGGCAACCGCCAAAGGAAACAGGGAGTTTGGGAGCCGAAAGAGTCGGGGGTTGTCGAAAACACCGATCTGGCAATCGTGCGCGCGTGTCTTTGAGCACAGCCTGGCATATGGGGATATGTGTGTATCTAAAGATGTGTGTGCGTATATGTATGTGTGTATGTCCATATGTGTATTACAAGAATACCAGTAAAGTCCGGTAAAGCCGGGGGGGGCGGAAGTTTCAAACCCATGAGCAACTATAGGGAGAAGTGGCTCCCAACAAGTGCCAATGCTTGCAAGCGCGCCTTTTTTCGCGTGTCCAAAGGCTGTCTGTTGTTTGCGCCTGCGCGGCCCGAAGCGGCACGCACAGGCGTCCACGCGCTGCACGAAGCGGCGCGCGTCGGCAGTGGCTTTGCAGGCCTGCAGCCTACAAAGGCAAGCAGGTGGAGCCGTGTCCTTCACACAGCAGTACTGGGTGTCAGGCCACAGCAGAAAGCGAAATTCTTTCTGCAGAAAGCGAAATACTTTCTTCGCATGGCGCTCGAAAATGCTTGTGTGCCACCTCCACCAAATGGTGCATTTGCGCCGCGTGCAAGATTGTAAACTTCCCAGCCGCCCGCAGCTTGTCCGCAAAACTGTCCAGGAACTTAATGCGGTCTTCGTAGCTTGCGCCCTTCAATCTCTGGATGTCTTCTGGAACGGGCTCTCACTTTCCGATTGCGGCCACTGCCTGCCAGACACCGCCGGCAGGCCGAAGTCAACGATCTGCTGTAAAGTCTTGTGGATGCTGGCCATTACCCCGTGCAGCAACAGCTTTTGCACAGGCAGCAGCTCCTCATCTAAAGCTGCCTCATGATGGGAAGCTGAGCCGCTGGCACGCTCGCGCTTTGCGAAGCAGGAGTGCTCCGCCTCGTATATCCAACGGAGCCTTAGACCAATCTGAGAAGCGCGCGTCAAGACCACCCTATGTTCCAACGACTCAGCACACACCTCCGTGGAGCGGATTTGATTGGCCACGGCCACTAGCGCAACCCGCGCTTCACTAGCTTCCCTGCTATGCCTTGCCAAACCCTGCAGCCTATCAAACAAAGGATCACCAAGCTCTTCTTGCAGCTGCCCCTTGAACTTGTAGACAAACGCGCAAACACGCAGCCATGGGTCCAACGCAGGCGCGGCGCCTGCTCTGGGAAACTCTGCAGTCGGAACTCCTCAGCGTCCCGCATTTCGATGTAAGAACATATACCATGGTCGCTCCTCGCGAACTGAGGGCTTCAAGCAAGCGATGAGAGCCGAGCCAGAGCAATCTCGCGCGGCTAGTTGGTGGGCATGTTCAATCAGAAAGTGCTCAAAGTCCTTCCACCTTTCTTCGCCTTCATTGCCACGCGCTAGTTTGGGACGCTTGCAGATTGACTGATTAGACCCAGACCCTGCAGATTGAACAAGGTGAAGTGTATCATCCAGCTGTGTAAAGAAATTTGTACCACAGCTTCTCCCTTGTCCCACGATGGACTCCCCTGGCCTCTCAGCCAGGGGCTCCTTGTTTTCCTCCACAAATTTCCGCAGCTGCTGAAACTTTTTGGTTCTGCTGACTTGCGAAGTACCTGGCGCCGCTGTAGGGCAAGCCTGGTGCCTTCTCGTTGCCGCGTGCTTGTGAATGCCTGGTGCTCAGAAAACAAACGAGCCAACCAAAACGATGCGCCGAGTTGGTTGTAAACATGTGACCTGTCTGGTGGGTGTGAGATGATGGAGTATGGTGCCTGCCCAAGAACACAAGAGTGGTCATAGAGCCAAAACAGCATCATCATGGTAGTAAACAGCCAAGCTCCTGTCGTAGATCTCTGGCGTCAGGCCCCAATTGCACCTGTCAACAACCGACAAAACTCCCCCCCCCTCACGACCAGCCGAGTGTTCTCAACTGTCGACCTTGCCTGGCCTAACTTCTCCTGGCGCTGCGCCTCTTCATGCCCCGGCAGCTCCAGCGGGCGCGCGCGCTGCCGCCCGAAACGGCAAGCCGCGCGCGGTCTCTGATCAGCGCGTGGCCGCCCGAAGTGGCAGGCCGCGCGCTTTCATTGCTCAGCGGTGCGGGCCGAAGCAGCAAGCCACGGCTGAAGCCATCACCGCGCGCGCGCCTAACAACAACTGCCGTAGCCGCACAACACCTCATCCGCCGAAAAGTGCGGATAGTCTGAAAATTAGCTTTCTGCACGGGCTGCTGCCCGGTAGCTCCCGGACACTTGCCGAAATGGCCCACGGATATGCCCACGAAAACTGACGGAAACGACCCAAACTATTGGATACCCTGTGCTTTACAACGGGTCCTGACAACTCATCCGCCGAAAAGCTCGGATACCCTGAGAAAAACTGCATTTTACAGAGCTACCTTTCTGCCCGGGTTGCATCCCGGATTCTTCCCGGATACCTGCCGACACACCCCGAAACGATCCGCGGATACCCACGAAAACTCGAGGAAAACGATCCAAAATATAGGAACGCTTCTACTTGCAACAGATGCTGACACCTCATCCGCCGAAAAGTGCGGATACCCTGAGAAATACAGCGTTTTACACAGCTAGCTTTCTGCCCGGGCTGCATCCCGGATACTTCGCGGATACCTGCCGACACACCCCGAAAAGATCCGCAGATACCCACGAAAACTCAGGGAAAACGATGCGCTGCTATTTGCAACAGATCCTGACACCTCATCTGCCGAACAGAGCGGATACCCTGAGAAAAACAGCGATTTACACAGCTAGCTTTGTGCCCGGGATGCATCCCGGATACTTCCCGGATTCCTACCGACACTCCCCGAAAAGATCCGCGGATACCCACGAAAACTCGAGGAAAACTGCTATTTGCAACAGATCCTGACACCTCATCCGCCCAAAAGTGCGGATACCCTGAGCGTTTTACACATCTAGCTTTCTGCCCGGGATGCATCCCGGATTCTTCCCGGATACCTGCCGACACACCCCGAAACGATCTGCGGACACCCACGAAAACTCGAGGAAAACGACGAAAAGTAGAGGATACGCTGCTATTTGCAACAGATCCTGACAGCGCATCCACCGAAAAGTGCGGATACCCTGAGAAAAACAGCGTTTTACACAGGTAGCTTTCTGCCCGGGCTGCATCCTGGATACCCACCGACACACCCCGAAACGATCCACAAATACCCACGAAAACTCGAGGAACGCGACCAAACATAGAGGATACGCTGCTATTTGCAACAGATCCTGACACCTCATCCGCTGAAAGTGCTGATACCCTGAAAAAAAAAGCGTTTTACACAGCTAGCTTTCTGCCCGGGCTGCATCCCCGATACTTCCCGGATACCTGCCGAAACACCCCGAAACGATCCGCGGATACCCACGAAAACTCGAGGAAAACGATCCAAAATATAGGAACGCTTCTATTTGCAACAGATCCTGACACCTCATCCGCCGAACAGAGCGGATACCCTGAGAAAAACAGCATTTTTCACAGCTAGGTTTCTGCCCGGGCTGCATCCCGGATACTTCGCGGATACCTGCCGACACACCCCGAAACGATCCGCGGATACCCGCGAAAACTTGAGGAAAACGACGAAAAGTATAGGACACGCTGCTTTTTGCAAGAGATCCTGACACCTCATCCGCCGAAAAGTGCGGATACCCTGAGAAAAACAGCGTTTTACACAGCTAGCTTTCTGCCCGGGCTGCATCCCGGATACTTCCCGGATTCTTCCCGGATACCTGCCGACACACCCCGAATCGATCCGCGGATACCCACGAAAACTCGAGGAAAACGACGAAAAGTATAGGATACGCTGCTATTTGCAACAGATCCTGACAGCGCATCCACCGAAAAGTGCGGATACCCTGAGAAAAACAGCGTTTTTCACAGCTAGTTTTCTGCCCGGGATACCTGCCGACGCACCCCGAAACGATCCGCGGATACCCACGAAAACTCGAGGAAAACGACGAAAAGTGTAGGACACGCTGCTATTTGCAACAGATCCTGACACCTCATCGCCGAAAAGTGCGGATACCCTGAGAAATACAGCGTTTTACACAGCTAGCTTTCTGCCCGGGACGCATCCTGGATTCTTCGCGGATACCTGCCGACACACTCGGTAAACGATCTGCGGATACCACGAAAACTCGAGGAAAACGACGAAAAGTATGGGACTCGCTGCTTTTTGCACCAGATCCTGACACCTCATCCGCCGAAAAGAGTGCGGATAGCCTGAGAAAAACAGCGTTTTACACAGCTAGCTTTCTGCCCGGGCTGCATCCCGGATACTTCCCGGATTCTTCCCGGATACCTGCCGACGCACCCCGAAACGATCCGCGGAGACCCACGAAAACTCGAGGAAAACAACGAAAAGTAGAGGACACGCTGCTATTTGCAACAGATCATGACAGCTCATCCGCCGAAAAGTGCGGATACCCTGAGAAAAACAGCGTTTTACACAGCTAGCTTTCTGCCCGGGCTGCATCCCGGATACTTCGCGGACACCTGCCGACACACCCCGAAACGATCCGCGGATACCCACGAAAACTCGAGGAAAACAACTAAAAATATAGGACACGCTGCTATTTGCAACAGATCCTGACAGCTCATCCACCGAAAAGTGCGGGTACCCTGAGAAAAACAGCGTTTTACAGCTTTCTGCCCGGGATGCATCCCGGATGCTGCCGGCACACCCAGAAACGATCCTACCTATCTATCTACCTACCTATCTATCTTTTTTATTTGTATCTCTCTGTTTATCTATCTATCCATCTACCCACCTTCTCCAGGAAAGCTCCGTGAAAGCGCCAGCTGCATGAACGGTCTTGTTGCACAGATCCGCCGCGTTCACGTGGCTTGTTCGCCTGCGCCTCGCCCTCAAGCCTCAAGGAAAGAAGAAAACATAACGTGAGTGGTGCGGCAAGCTTAGGAAGTATAAGCGGATGGGGCCTTTCCTCGCTAAGAAAGTGGGTGTCTCCCAGTGGTTGCTTCCAGCAGGCGGCTCTGCGGGCTAGATGTAGGGACCCATGTGAGCGAGACCTTC